GGATGACTTTACATCGGAACAATTACACAAAATCTAAAAAAACCAACCCCAAACCCCCCAGAAACAAAAAGCAAATAGTCAGGCTGCCTTATCTTTCCTTTTTTTAATCATTTTTTGCTTTCTTCATTTTCCTTTCAAGCCCAAGGATGGGCTCACCCCTGGCCGGAGCCACCAGCACCAGCCCCGCACGATGTCACCCCCCCCCGTCCCGCGGCATGGCGGCAGGCAGATAAAAAGGCCAAACTCCTTTTAAAGCACTTTTTTTTTTCCTTTTTTTTTTATTGATTTCATTTAAAACAGAACAAGAAAATGATCAGAGCCAAAAGACTGCTCCTTTAAAACTGTCAAAAACATTAACAGAAAAAAAAAATAATAATAATAAACATGACGGCATTATGAATGTTCTAGAAGAGATGAACAAAAAAACCTGTTACTGCACTAATTACAGTATTTAAAGATATATGCAAAAAAAAAAAAAAAATTAAGATAATGACCTGCCCAGCCACCACACAAAAGGTGATGGCAAATTTATTCACACTACAATACTAACAATTTAAAAAAAGTTTTGTGTTTTTTCCTGCGTTTTTATACTAAAATCACTTTGTTCTTTTTATACAATTGATAGTTTATATTCACGTGGTGAGCAAAAATCACACCAGAATCAGCACCGTTTTGTTTTGTGGTTTCTTTTTGTTGTTGTTTTGTTTTTTGTGTGGTTTTTTTTTTTTTTTTTCTTTTTAATGCTAGTCCCCAATGTTTTGGAAATGGTAAAAAATAAATCAGTTTATTGAAACCTCATAGCATGTGGCTTAAAAATTAATCGAAGGTGCCCAGCGTTGAGAAAAGTGATGGGAAGAGACGAGCTGGTGGCATCTGGGATCTTCTTGCCGTGACATGTCCTGTCCGCTATTTGCCCCAGCCGGCAGACGCGAGGAGTCGAGGTTCTCTATAATATATATCGTTCGCTTTATTTTTTTTTTTTTTTTTAAAAAACCAAAACTGATTTTCTTAAGAAGTTAGTGTCTTGTACAATCCCCTTCAACCTTCCCTTTCTAAAACCACTAATGCGACGGGGAGAGGGAAATCCTTCCACGGATGAACCGAACACTGAGACAGTAACACGGCCGAGCGGCGCAGACGAGAGCTGGTTTGTAACGGAGAAAGCCCGGGAGGGAGCAGGGTCTCAGGGGAAGCATCTCTGGACAGCCAGGGACCAAAGGGATTGCAAGGACTGTGGGTTTCTTCTCATCGGAAGACAAAAAAAAAAAAAAGCCGGTGGATTTGGTACCAAGGAGGGCGTTTGTTAGAAATGCCCTCCAGCTCCTAGAGAAAAGGCCCCACCACAACGTCCTGCAAGATGTGGGAGAAATTCATGATTTAAAAAAAAAAAACACAAAAAAACCAACAACCTACAACCAAAAAACCAAACAAACCAACAAAAACCAACCAGCAGAACCTGCCCCGGGGCTGTGCCAAGCAAACCCAAACGCCAGCACCTCCCTCCCCCTCCCCGCTCCCCCCGGCTTTTAGAAAGAAAGTCCCATCAAGTATTCAAAGTTTATTACAAGTGAACTGGAGATGACTTGGCATGAGCGATCCATTCAATTAACAATATTCGGAGGACGGGCGGCTCTCCCTTGGCTCTGACAACACTTAGCACATTAAGAGACGGAGGCCAGGACAGCTCGCATGGGGGAAAAAAAAAACAAAAAAAAAACCAAAAACGCAACAGCCACCCCTCCACACGCAACTGTGAAAACCAGCAGCTTTCCAGGACCGGGGAGGGGAGAACAACATCACGGAGGTGGGATTTGCTTTTACTTATTCCTCAAGTAACAGTCGGTGGCACAGCCCTAAGTGTCACGAACCCTTGGCTTTCCTTGAGTGGGTTGGTTTTTTTTTTTTTCGTTTTTTTTTTTTTTCTCTTTAAATGGAAATTCAGACAGTATGTGAATCTATAGGGTTAAAACGAGTCAGTCTCTGGGGAGCGGAGCCTCAAAAGGGGCCGGCTGCCGTGGCAGAGCTGGTGTCGGGGAGCCCGTTTTCCTGCGTGTCCTGGGACGAGGTGCTCGCCTGCCGCTGGGCCAGCGCTGAGCTCGAGTGTTTGCACTTGGGTGAACCGCACTGACAGCTGAAGTATTTGCCTTTGATGTCCCAGAACCTGTCTCCGTAGTCGAAGCTGCAAGAGAGAGACGGAGACGGGGTCACTGCAAAGCAGAACGCGGGAGCAAAAGGGATCGCGCATCGGCGCAAGACGCCGGGGTCGGCAGTCCTCGGTGCTGCCACAATTTGGGTTTTTGCGAAGTTTCAGGGGACGGAGCGTATTTGTGGGATCCCCGGGGACCCCGGGGACACAGCCCGGAGAGCGGCAGAGCTTTAGTCCCTCTCCAGCCGGTCCTTCGCCCTGCAAGGCGATGGCTCCCTGTGGGAAATGCAGCCCCAGGGACAGCACCTACCCGATTTCTTCTCCGGCTTCTATATGCCTCGTGCTGAAAAAGGCGATCCTGGGAAAGCGGAGGTCCTGATGCGACATGAAGACTCGCACCGGGATGAGGTTTGGCTCGCAGAGGTGGTTTATAAAGCGGCTGATGTTACCATAGAAACGGGCATCTATGCAGTACACCTCTCCGTCCTGGAGGAGAAACGTTGCACCTTTCATTAGATGAGGTTGGGTTTAATATTATTACTGCTGCTTGTTTAAATAAAACAAATGACCAAACTGTTGGTCATTCCGCTCTGGAGAGCTTCAACAAGAACAACCACCAGGGCAGGACACTCACTGCAGGTTGAAGAGGACTAAACACACACGTTTTTATATTCAACAGTACCTGGAAAACAGAGTTTTCTGCACGGCACTCTGCCCCCACGAGCCCAAAGATCTTTTAAAATGCCCGTGGCACTGGCTGGCACGTCAGCTCACCCAGCCCCGCTCTGCTAAAGCACCGGTTTGGCGTGGTGGGATTGATGTTTGGTGCAGACACCTTATGGGTAAGAGCCACTGGATCGGGGAACAGGCATCTGTTCTGTCCTCTAATTGAACATGACAGCTAGGAAACACAAAGCCAGAGCCTCGAGAAAACACAGGTTTTTGCAGATAAAAGTCAAAGTGAGAACACAGATATTCCCTTTCCAGAGAGCCCACAGAGCAGTAATATTTTGTTTTCCTTGAAAATAAAAGAACTCCCCTCAGGGCTTTTTTATTCCAGCAGAGAATGACTGTGCAAAGCAGAGACTTTAATTACAGTAGCTAATTTCAGTTGCAAAGAGGCCAAAAGCAAAAGGATCCATTAGCGGTGCTCAAACTCCCTTTTGGGCAAGCACCTTGCGATCGTTAATGGATGAGCTGTGCCAGATCACACCACCCAACTGGTACAGGAGCCCAGGGAAGACGTCCCAACGACTGGGGGAGGCGTCACCCCACATGGTCCCACATCACACACAGCGTTACTGGCTCTAATTTCAATTTTAAGTAATTCCCATCGCCCTCTTGCTTTTAACCATGGAAATGTCATGGTTGGCGAGGACAGCATCACCCACTACCACGTCTAGCGACCATCTGGAAATATCCGAGCTTTCCACTATACAAGTCAAGATGTGTTTCTCGAGGAAAGAGCCTGCTGCCTGGACGACCACAGGCAGCATCCTCACTGTGAAGCTGCTGAGGAGGACAAGTCTCAAAGCAAACTGCTTCCCACCTTGCTACGAGGGTTTCGGGAACTAAGAGTCACATGGTGGCAAGTAGAGAGGCAGAAGAGAAACCAGGAACCTGCTCTGGTGCGAGATGAGGCTCCTTCTCAAGAGAGAGGAGACTGCAAAACGGCTATGCAGAAGATGATATCCACGTTTCGCTCTTACACCTAAAATCTTCAGTGCTTCAAGTGGAAGGACAGTACGACATTAGGATTTCGGATAGCTCTTAACGATCACCAACCATGACACGAAGGGTTCCCAGAGGGCAATTCAGGACATCGTGAGCACTGGGGTTTCTCAGAAGGGAGGATGCCCCAAGAAAGCCCTTCTTGCCTGCAGAAGATCACACGCAGAGAGCCCCGACCACTGCCTCTCCTCCATGGACACAGCAGGGCCCCGTGTGTGAGCAAGGACTGCAGAGGATGGGTCTGCAGCAGGAAAGGGTGGCTTAACACCAACAGAAAGCAACCACAGCAGCTGAAACTCAACCTCGTCTTTCCCAGAAATAGCACGGTCTTTTCCAGCTCTCCAGTACGGAGACAAGAAAACTATTCCTTTAACGAGCTGAAGAGGTACCAGAGAGTATCTGCTGTGCTGTGTCTCCTGCTTGGAGACCCAGCAATGGCAGTAAGTTTTGGCTGTTCAATGTTCGCCCCCGTTCAGACACAGGACGGGATGCAACTACAGGACCTGAACGATTCACCACGCACATGGCCTTGAGTGACAACTCAGGGTACAGGGACATCAGAAATGACGTCCTCACCACTCTCTTTCACTACAGCACAAACCACTTCTTCAAGACACACCAGGACCCCAAGGCTGCCCCTCCCAGGGTTGGGGTTCCCCCATTTAATAACTCCCCATCACTCAGGCGGCCACAGGACCCGTCTGGCTCTGCCCTGCCCCCCTCCACCCACGGGCTTCTTCTAACAGTCACTCAACGACTCGGAGCCTGGTTTTCTACAGATGCACCTCTTTGAAGATACCATGAAAAAAGGTGCCGTGCTTGTTGCCTGTACGTAGGTCTCCCTCCTTGTTTCACTGAAGGCTTTGAAGAGCAAAGGCAGGGGCTAAGCTAAAGGCAAGGCACGGCCCAGGCAGGCAACGAACCAGGTTGAAGTCCCTGCTGCTTTTCAGCTTCTTCATTACAGTTTGTTCCCTCTGTTCTCAGACTGACTACAAGACGCATTGCTTATCTTTTTTTTCAGTTGTTGAATCTGTGTCGCTTTAAAAAAAAAAAAAAGGCAAAAAATAAAGCAAAGCTTCTTTGTCACTAGCTGATGACATAAACAAGACACAGACTGTTTTACAGCTTTCCTTGGAAGCCACCCCACTTCTCGGAGTCCCCAACTCACCTTTCTCCTCTTCTCCTTTCCCAAGGCAAGTCTGAAGTGATGGCCTTGCTTAAAAGCTTTAGATCACACTTTTCAAAGCAACCTTTCTGCTCTGAGACAGCCCTGCGCAGAGCAGCGCAGGATGACTACCAGAAGAACAAGCCTCAAGTCCCTGCCAGGGTATCTGATGGATCCCTTTATAAGTGAACAGGGGTTTTTTTCAGTCTTTCAGCTCATCTTTTTATGAGGAACTTACAGAGCTGCCACTCAGCACAGCTGCAAGCCTGCATATACACACCTGAGTGTCAAAACCTGAACAACTGAACTCCGGATAACCAAATGGTTTTGACAGAAGAGCATCTTGCATCAAAACCGGTGTGGGCAGCACGCACCGTGGTGGCCCAGGGCTGCTGGGATCTGTTACCGTTTTAACAAGCCCTAAGCCTTACCTCAACCACTCTATATTTTGACTAAAACACAGCGAGGATGCAGTCCCCCTCTTTGCAGGCTTTCAGATCGTGCTGTACATCAAGATGAGACAAATATTCTCTCTGCTCTTCTGGAGAGGCAAGACCTCGGGTTTGTCTCATTAGACACCTTCAGATACAGTACCTTGTTGTCAAGGTCGAAGAGGTAGGAGTCCTCTTCACGGACGTCTGCCTCGGAATCAGATATCAGCTCACCAACGTACCTGCGGACAAAGAGGAAAGGCAGAAATAAGATGCTCATGCAATCACAAGCTTGAGGTCAAACACCTCTTTCTGGGAAGAGGGAAAGAAAGGGATACAGCCCAGGCACAGACGGCAACCCACAGCCTTAGCGGTGCAGGTAGGTTGTCTCAGAACCACCCGGCAAACTCAGCTTTGCCAACTTACAGCAGCTAGATTCTGGCTCCAAACTCCATCTTTCCAGGGCAACACTTTTAATATTAAAAATGGAATCTTACTTCCAACAGAATTTACTTTTTCCGAGGACTATGTTTCTTTTTGCAAATCTCTTTGCTGGCCAAGATCAACCCATTAATCCAATTCTCCCTAAGTTCACGATCAGACTCACGTCCTGGCTCTCCCATACACCACTGCAATGCTTGTGCTGTTTACATCGCAAAGCAAAATGTTTGTGTCTGTCCTTCCTGTATTTTCCAGGGTATTCTGACTGACTACATCGGCTACGTACCTTAAAAAGTTTTGGTTTAGAAGTCTTAGGTCTAACCTAACCTGGCAGGCTCTAGGCTTCTTTCTCAATCCCTCCTGAAGCAGAATAAATCAGAGCTGTGATCCCAGTAACAACCACCTTGTTGTAAAACCAGGTGCAAAGCACGTCCTCCGAGCACCGCGAAGGACGTGCTGCTTGGCCTGGCTTGCTGGGAAGGACTAAATCCACGCAGCGCCTGTCACACCCCAGACAGATGCTGGTTTTGATGCAAACCCCCTTGTTGCAGGAGTCCCCGTTGCACCGCTGTTCCCACATTTGTCTCCCCGTCTCCATCTTAAACAGTTTTGGACTGTGCAGGTTCAACATCTCCTGCCCTGGCTTGCTTGCAAAGTAAGAGACACAAGGGGAGAGGTACTGAGCCAGAGGGAGGATACGAGAAAGAAGCACCAGCAGAGTAGATTCTGGTACGTCAGTCTTCCCGGCCTGCAATGCAACGCTAATTAATTATAAGCAAAGGATTCACAATACGAATAAATAATCTTCTCAGCATCAACAGAGACTTCCCTGCTCAGCAGCCATTATCACAGCATTCCTCTGCAGCTCTCAAGGCATTTTCAAAGCGTTAACCAACCGTATCCATTTCCCCCTGTGGCTCAAGGCAGCATTTAACTCCAGGGCCGGGGAAGAGGAGAGCCACGAAACATGAACCTGGAGAGGACCCACGCACGCCGTGACAAGGGATCATTTGGCTGCAGTTCCCAAATCCGAGCAATCTGGCCAAGTTGCTTTGCCAGAGCAGGAGGCTGCCGCCGCGCGCGATCCTCCTGTTTGCCCCCGCTGCATTCTGTTATTTATTAAGCGCTCCCGTAAGGCTGCGGCATTACTGGAAATCACACGCTCGTTGGTGACCTAAAGCGATAGGAAGATGATGGCCAGAGAGAGAGAGAAATTGCTGTAGCATGGCACAGGAGCCAGCAGCAGCTGAGAAACAGCTGAATAATGCTGCACGGAGAGGCGCTCTGCTCAGGGACAGACACTTCAGGTTTACAACTCAGTGAAACAAAAAACCACAATCTAATTAAAAATTGTTGGTTTGATGTTTCTTTAAAGACTATTCCTGTAACTCATTTCCTTTCCAGGACCGCTTACAGATACAAACGCTTCCCTAACTTCCCAGGCCAAAAGTTATGGAAGGATGTGCAAGAGGTACATGTTCCTACCAAAAAAAGAGCAGGGAGCATCAGCTCCTTCATTTAAGAACTCCAAAAGTCAAGCCAGCATCTTTTTTCTGAGCAAGACGTTCAGCACGCCGATGGCAAGTAACTACATCTCAGAGCTTCACACTGCTACTCGTCACCGCAAGATCAGAGCACACTCCATGCAGAAGTCAAGAGCAACAAGCAGTCCCTAGCACAGGCTCCAGCATTTTCCACAGGCTGTGGGAGACGCGACGCCTGGGGCTTCTCTGGCTGAAGGTGTGGCTGAAATAACCTGGCTCGATGCAGATGGTATCTCACTGGAGCATCACTATTTTGTACAGAAATTAAATATTTGAAAACCACGTAATGGACATGCACCAAAAGGAACAGATCAGATCCTCACAAATCTCTGGTTTCTGCATCCCACTAATTCACAGCCCCTCGAATAAAAGCCCTTACCCAGCTGTGCCGTTTCCAGAACGAGCAGTTACACCATCTGACAACCAAACATGAACAGAACAGATTCAAAACAACCCACAGCAACCTCAGCACGGGGTGCACAACAGCAGCTTCTGAGAACCAACAAATTCGGAGGTCGGGGAGAAACCTGCACCGAGGACATGGGTCTCCCAAGCATCTGCGAGCAGCAGAGCCTAAAAACTCCCCGGGAGCCCAGCGGGGCAGGGAAGACGATGCTGCTGCATCTCCCCTCACTAAGCTGCTGCTTCCAGGACCGTGCTGAAGGTACTAGAGGCTGCTAGTAGGAGGGTCGGGAGGAGCTGAAACATCTGGAGCAGCTGGGGTCTGGGGAGCCCTGGAGACGACGGAGGGAGGGCTGGCTGGCCACCGCGCTGGCGGAGCCTCGCTCCCAGCTGCCAAACTGCTCTGAGCGCTGCTAAATGCTCCTTGCAGAAGCTGCTGCGGGTTGCCAGAGGGACAGTCTGCGAGCAGAAACGGGAAGGAAAACCATTTTTGGCGTGATGAGAGAGAAAAGTTGAAAGGTATGTGAAGTACGGAGCAGGCTGAAAAGCAGTATGTTTGTAAAAAAGGCATTTACACCCAGAAACAGTCAGGACCTGCAGTTTTGCAAAATAAAAGCATCATGAGAACTATTCCAGACCTGCCCCTCATGCTGGCATACATGAAAAATTATGAAATAAAAGTTATCCTTACACCAATACAATTATCATCCTTCCAAAGCAGAGTAATAACCTCTGTACAAAGCAACTACCTGCTCAGGGCTCTAATCCAGATGTTTAACGTAAAATGCTCTTCCGTGAGAGTCAATCCTGGGAGCTGCTGTGCGCAAGCAGCCCCCGAGCACCGCCGGCAGCAGGCTTGCTTTGCCAGAAATGAGGAAAAGAAGAAACCAAGTCTACAGACTGCCCATAAAGAATCACAGAAAGGGCATCAGTGCAGCTGCCTTGAGGAGCGGGACTGGAGTTGGTCAGTTGAGTAAATAACGTCTGTGTATGAGTGATGGAGACAAGGAGGAATGTGCATGGGCAAGACATAAATTAGCTCAGTTTTTTAGTATGCAGCTCCTTTAGATGATGAGGAAGATAGTGCCTGCCACTGAAACAGTGTCAGCAGCTCCTGGCAAGGGTGGAGGGAAGAGTTAAGCGTGGTTGTGGTATCTGCACCCCATCAGCTCTGATGTGCTCTACAACACACCCCGTCTGTGTTTAATTACATCGTTGCGCAGGGCTGCCCCGTTTCCTTGGGCTGTTCACCACTGCTTACTCCTCCCGCGTGTTAGCATTCCAGTAGGATTTGGTAAAGTCAGTGCCTTTTTCTTTGGGAGCAGTTTACTCGCAGGCTCTGGCTCATCTCTGGGCGCTGACCCAGGACACGGGGACCTTCAGTACTTGACAAGAAGCCCCACCTGAGGACAGCCTTGAGAGACTCCCCACAAACAGCAGTTTTAAGCTTTGCCTCTGAAAAAAAAACATTTTATCGTCTGGCAGCTCCTAGCATGGAAGAAATACTTGGCCAATTCACTGCAGATTTTCCTTCATTTTTCTAAAAATTTCTGCAATAACGTTCCTCAATTCCCCACCTCAATTCTATAAACCATCAATAACTAGATCCAACAACCCATGAAGCGCATGAGTCCAGCCTTATTTAAAAGGTCTTATCTCACTGTAGTATTACAATGAAGAAAACACTTTCCAAAATATTTAATAAAGTACAGATACTACTTTAAAGTCTAAAAACCGTGGGGCTCGACAGGCGGTTTTTTCACCTGACATAAACCTGAACATTTTTGTTCTTAAGTACTTTATTGAATCGGGGCCGAAACATGTGCTTAACGCCAAGTGCTTTACTGTTTTGCTGAATCAGATTAAAGCCAGAGCTGTGACACTGGAAAACCTCTTGAGAGGTCAGTATTGAAACAGAAAAAGATCCATATAAAAAAGCTCTTCCAAACTGCCTTGGCCTTAAATGTCCCATATCCACGACGAACACGAGTTGAGCACATCTGCAGCACAACCCAAATGCATTGTTCCCCCATTGCCTGTGTTTCAGAGGGGCAAGAGAGCTGAGCACAGATCCCAGCAAGACGGAGAGAGGGGTGGAGAAACTCCACACTATGAGGAAAAGGACAAACAGAACAGGAAATGGAATCAGGAAACCTCTGACTGAGGGCAAGCAGCTCGGCTCGATGCCAATTTGATTTGTGTGAGAGGAGCAAACCACCCCGGCCCTCGGGAAGCGATGCTTTTGCGTGAGCTAACGAACGCTGAGTAACTTACTCGCACACAAAGGTTCCCAGTGGAATGTCTTGCATTGTTCGCACACCCCAGCCCATCTTTTGTGTCCGATAAAGCTGCAATCGAGTCCTGCAAGAGAGGAAACGAAGTCATGTTAATGGCACCATTCCACGGAAAGACAACGGATTTTTGGAGAGGTGAACAAAAAAACCAGCAACCTTCCACCAGCACAAACTCAAAGGTGATTTCAGTATTCAACCCCCCCCAGCTCTCATGCTGGCACCACTGTGGGTACCCACTGCTGCTCTGAGCGTGCAGGCAGATGCTCGGATGGAAACTGCCTGAGGACAAGGGACGGGCACCCATCAATCCCTTCTCCCTGCCCTGCTCCACCTTGCAGGTGCACACCTAGGGACTGGGGACGAGGGTATGGGACTGGATGCTCTGTGTGGTTACGCCGTTGATGATTTACACGTAGGGTACCAGAATCCCACCACCAGCATTTCTCTTCCCTTCCACGCACACACCCCGCGCTCGGGGGAAGGCAGGGACGGTGGAAGGGGACTTAAAGCAGCGTAGCTCTGCAGGGAGGGGTGCTGCAGGGGGAAGGGCAGGGAGCTTATGGTGAATTAAGAACACCTTCAGCTAAGTGCTCTGATCCCTTTGCCCTCTGCTGAGGCCAGTGCATTTAGCTACTCCATCATATCCAGCTCCCTGGCTGAAAGACAAGGAAGAAACACTGCAACTTGAAACTTCTTGGTGTAATAGCTGCTCTGTGGAATTTTACTGATGGAGTTTATAGGCGGAGAAACAATCCTGTAAGTCATTCTGCCTCCTGCTCAGCCAGAACTTGAGTTAAGTGCAGGATGAACAGTCTCCAGGGCTAGGGAAGGCTCGCTCTGTACCCGAGGGAACTAAAGCCCACTCTCAGCAATGCTGTTATCGGAATAAAGAGAAATCCAATGCTCACCTTAACTTCACCCTGTTGCTTTTTCCAGTACGTCTCTTCCCCCCACCCATTCCCTCCTCGCACCGTCAGCTCAAATCAGGGCCTGTGTGCTTTCTTCTATTTGCTCACAGGTCGTGGAGCCTTCACTAGGGCAAAATATGACTTCATGATAATGATGGCTCTCAGAGAAACCAGTTTTTTTTATATACATCTATGTGTGTATATATATAAGTATTCCAGGCTTGAGGAAGCTTCCCCATGTTTTGCCCTGTCCACCACAGCAGAGCAGAGAGCCGAGCTCGGGTTCAGGCTCTGCTCCTGGGGCTGACGCTGGCAGCAGCGGGACCGTGGCTCCAATCTCAGCTTCCTGGCCGAGCTGGTTCAGCCTGCCAGATGGAAACGTGTGCGCTGCTGAGTGGAGTTAATTTGGAGCAAATCTGATAAAGGAAGCACTGAAAACGGAGCAGGAGCACCCATGTGTCACACTGCAGCCCAAACGCTGGAGGTTTCCTCCGCTGCCTCCCCAGGGACCTCAAGCACAGCTCTGCCAAGCACCTGACCTTACCGTCAGCTTCCCGACAGAGCCGCTCTCATGGTTAGGTTCCCAAACCCTTCCCGTCTTTCAGAAAAACACTTTAGCAAGGCAAAAATGCAGAAGCAACAGCTCTAGCTGTACAGCTCCTAAATAAACACCCACGTAGACACCGGAGCTCTAGAGCTTGGCAAGGAAAACCAGAAAGGGGTAAAGTTCTGTTGAAACACATCGAGCTTCTTCCTTACTTATTTTTAACATTGAAAAATGTCATTGAAACTACAAAGCTTGCAAAAAAAAAAAAGTGTTGTCAGTACTACAAAAAATTTGCACAAGTCTTTTTTCCAGTGGGACTCCTTTGAAGTTTGTCCTGATACATTTAGTGCAGTGGTAAACTTCTCCATAGCAGAGGTCCAAAACAAACCATTTACATTTTTAGTCTGGCACCAAAACCGTAACAGCCTCGCAGCACCAAGGCCAACAGGTATTCAGGTATCCAATTCAGGGGAAGTCATGCCAGTAATTCGGAAATTTTAAGCAGCCAATTCTGGGCATGCTGGCCTATATTTCTAATATAGGCTGGTAACTTACAAGATCTTCCAAATTAAAGCTTTGCAGTTTCCGTTGCTGCTGTTTTCTTCACAGATCTCCACATGAGAAGTTACATCTAGGCTGTTCGTGCAAACCCACAAGCCGTTTGTATGGTTTATGGTCAGGCTGATGAAAGAACGCTGCAGTTCCCACATGATGGTGGCAGGAGCAGGGTGCAAGTATTAACTGAGCTCATGAACCCGCTGCCGCTTCATTCCCACCGGCAGCACACAGGAACCCGCTTGCATCCCACCACTGCGTGGAGGCACCTGCCTCAACTTCTGTATCACCTCGGGAAGTCCTGGGTTTTGTGGGTTTATGGGTGAGCTGAGACTAAAGAGCCAGGAAGTTCCTGGGTTTGGTGTTGGTCTCGCCAAGATAAGCTGCGTTTGGATCCTCCTTCTCACCTGAGCCCATTCTGCACCACCCGGTTCCTACAGGTTCGCCAGCACGAGCACGCGTGATTACACTCGAAGATCAGCGGCGGCTCAGCCATGTTGAATTCAGGCAGGAGTCGGCCGTCCTGAAGAGGAGAGGCATTCAAGGCTGGGTTAGTTATCTACTCCTGTGACCCCTCCAAACCAGAGGCAGGCCAAGAGCAGAAATTCCCCCAAGTGTAAAACCAGGCCAGAGAACCCCAAGGTGGAGGCATGCCCCGACCTCCCCAAAACCAGCATCAAACCTCAACTTCTGCAGTGGTTTTGCTCTGCCCTGACAGCGGCACACTTGCCACTATCACCAACAGCTGACAAACAGCAAGAAACCGTCTAGAGTTTTGCTGCCTAGCATCAGCCTATGCGCCACCAAAAATAATATCTTACAGTGCTGTGCAAAAAAAAAAAAAAAAAAAAGTGGTGTGCATCATCATTATTATCATTTTGCAGTGCTGGAGGGGAGAAGCGGATGCTTAGCCTGTCTCTGGAATAAAGCCTAAACTTCCAGAGTACAAGGCCAGTACAACCAAGTTCTGTGAACATTATCTTCCCAAATAACACTCCCAAAAAAGCTACAAGCCAATTATTTACCAACCATATAGGATTAAGGAAGCGATAGACGCAGTTCATCATATTTAACAAATTTGGCTTTTAAGGCTTGAAAGATGTAATCACCTATTAAAGTGTAAATAAAATGGCTACAAAGCAAAGGAAGATGCCAATATTCCCCCTGGGAGAAACTTGCAGAGATTTACAGAACTTCTGATCTTACAGAACCTGTCCAAATACTAACCTCAAAACCTCCCTGGAGGACTGAAGCATGCTTACCCAAAACAAGCCAGGTTTCTGGCAAAGTTGCAGTTAAAACATCTTTACTTTGCCTTCATCCGGAAAGATCACAATAAATAAAAGCAGGCAAAAAAAAAAATCTCTCTACTACCCTTCCTGTGTTTACATCTTACAGCATTGTCTACGTTGCTCTGAAACGGAAGCTGATTTCACGCATGGATTATTAAATGCTTTCTATCACACGGGCATAATTAATGGCTCAGTTGGCATGACAGTAACACAAATAACACTAGAAAAGCTTCCCTGAGTATGCATTTTGTTATTATCACATACATCTCAAAGCTGAAACTACAACTTTAGGCATTTTAAAACAAAAAGTAGAGGACATGTGCAAGGAACTGTAGTTAAGGTACTATCAGAAACCCTGAATTGTACAAAGTTCAGCTCGCAAACGCTGGTCTGACCCAAGAGGAGGTTCTGTGTCCTCACCTTATCATACCAGCAGCGCATACTGAGTTGGCCACACATGCAGTTACTGGAGGAGCAGTCGTCTATACATACACAATACTGGAAGAGAAGAAGAGAGGTTAACTCCGCACCACTCACACGTAACTGAAAGAACAACTTCTGCGACTGGGTCAGAGAGGAAACCACAAGTCTTTACCTTCTCCTGCTGCAGCTTGTTACTCAGAAGGATAACCAGCCTCATCGATTCTTTGGCATTCACAAATAATGGAGTAAAAATGCCACTGGACTGCGGCTTTCGGGAAAGGCTCATACTGAGCCACCTCCGTGTCCCATGAGAGGATGTCCCCCCTCTGTTACAAACCTTCCTCCATGCTCTAGGAGCTGTGCTCCACACTTGAGGACAAGGAAAGCTCCAAGGAGGGACCAGAGCTGGGAGATGATACAACATGGTGTCTCAGCCCTCCCCTGCTGCTTCTTCCCACACGGGTGCTCCAGCCGGCTGCCTCCTCAGCTCTCCCCAAGCCAACACAGTCCCACCACCAGCTGCTGCGCAACAGGGCTTGGGCATGGGAAGTTCACTTCAGCCACCTGAGAGCTGTGCCCAGAGAGGGGGCACCCTCACCCTACGCTTCCCCACCTCTGCTTTCACAGCCCAGCCTTTCAAGGACTTCCAGGATCACAATGAAGACCTTGGCATGGATGCTGCAGTGAGAGGAAGACACCATGAGGAGGGTCTCCCAACAACTCACTAACTTTCCAAATACAGAACAGAGGAAAAGGATAAACGGGAGCCACATCAGCCAGCGCCAGATGGCTGATGCTACAGCACACAGCTGAACGAAGAGGTTAGATTAAGTCTTGTAAGTGAAGCAAAGCAGAGTCCCATCTCCCAGAGCAAGAGTCGGAGTTTAGGACTACAGCCTTAGCTGGAATTTGATGGCGATATTAGAAGCAGACATTCCCAGTCTGAACGCAAAACCTGTTCTGAGGTGCAGTGAATGCACACACCAGCACAGGAAAAACCACGTGGATACACACAATCCCTCACCTGTAAATGAGTGATGTTTCTATCAATGTCCATTGGGGAGGTGACGCAGTTCTGTGAAACATATTTGTAGTTGCTAGGACAAGGCTCGCTGTCCACTGAATTGACACAGGGAATCGGGATCCGCTCATAACCCCGGGCGATGTCTCTGTCATTGGGAGAAAGAACTGTCACAGAAGAAAAGCTCCCCCGAGCAAGGGGCCATTCAAATGCCATCCTGGGGCAGGACTGCTGTCTTTGATCACTGAGCATTCAAAGCCTGAAAGCAATTCAGACTAGAACAGAGTTCAGTTTTTTCCACCCTGCCTTAGAGATTGTTCTTTGTGCTTGCAAATATTCCCATTTGGAGGATGAACTTAAAAACCACGGTCTGAATCAGCATGTGCTTAGTTCTTGCTAAGCTCAGACTGACCTTCACACCAGTTTAGAAAGCTAATCGTGCACTTACAGTCCTTTCTTAAACCAGGCCCCCAGCCTCCCACATGCAAGGGCTCTATATGACGACCCATGAGTAAAGCCAGCCATGTTCTCACCTGCTCACGACCTTCTCTACCTGGGCAGGCTTGTCAGTAGATGATTCTTTCAGAGTCTTGTTCATCTGTAGGGCCACCCAGACCTGAGAGTTAAGGCTGGAGCACTGGAGTGGAGTCTCACCCTCCTTGTTCTTTAAAGTGACATCCGAGCCACGGGAAAGAAAGAGACTGCAAAACAGCAAGAAAGGATAAGCATCCCCCAAGAGAAACCGTGCAAGGGGAAAATGAGCTGAATCACATCCTCCAGCCAGCCCTTAAGGGACAAGAAAGAATGTGTAGTAGTGAATAATCACCTGAGTTTTCTTTATTAAGCATGGTTCAGTGAATCCTTCTACAGGAAGGCGCTGGCAGAAGCCACAGACTGGAGCTCTGGGAACTCACGAGAGCTCTGGGCAAACCTCACCTTGCTTCAGGCATGACAAGTACCTTGCTGGTACCAGCCTAACCAGACAGAATCGAAACTCTCTCTGGCAGGTCACAGAAACCACTGGAGGAGTTTGAGCTGCTTCGGAAGTGGCTGGTACTGAAGCAGGGCTCTGCCTGGCACCGCCGCTGCCAGATAGAGTTAATTTTCCTCATAGTAGCCGGTATGGGGCTGTGCTTTGGGTTTGTGCTGGAAACAGTGCTGGTAACCCAGGGATGGTGCAGTTACTCACACACCGGGGGAGTGTGAGTGGCTAGTTGCCGGCTGGGGTTAAACCATGACACAGGGAAAGATACGGGGTGGGAAAAGTAGGCTGGAAATGGAAGTGTCGCACAGGAAACTGGTGTTGGACTTGGCCCTTGTTTATACTCACCAGCTTTTGGGGAGTACACATGATGACTTTATTCATAACAGTGATGAAGCAAAGGAAAAGCCCTGTTACCATATTATGCCACGCTAATTGCAAAAAAAAAAAAAAAAGCGCAAAGCTTTAATCAAGGATGCCTGAGGCCTTTGTGCTGAGAAGCCCAGGCTGAGCACAGCCCCTCTGTCCAAGACTCCAGGACCGCTCCACGTTTTCTGATCTTTTTTACACGGGCTCTGGCAGCAGCTAGTATTTCAGACCCACCGCCTCTAGAAGCAGGGCAATGGAGAAACAAGCCCTCCATCCCAATTTCGTTTTGTGCTTAAATGCCAAAGGCATTTCAAAGGCTCTCCCGAGCTTGGCAGCCAGCACTCAGAGAAAGGGGTGGCCAGGGGAAGGGAGGGAAGCGGCAGCGTACTTACACCACACACTCGTAGCGGTTCTCTCTGGCTGCAATATGCAGGGGTGAGTCCCCGTGAATATTCACTGCATGTAAATCACACTTAGCAGCCAGCAGTATCTCCGCTATGTCAACACAGCCAGAAAAAGCAGCCCAGTGCAAACAAATATTTTCCTCCTGGAGGGAAAGAAAACAGAGTAGAGGCTGTTTAGTGCATTAAAACCCTATTGCTTTGGGACTTCACCATCCTTAGCTCTACATCTGCAGCATTCAACATGTGGCTTGCCGTCTCCTTCCCCACATTGCTCCTTCTGGCTAGGAGTAGCAGGGCGGGCAGGGAAACCTCCACGCAGACAAGCAGGGAGTTCTCACTCCAGCCGCCTCCGCGCACCAAAGATGGGGAAGGCTGCACACGAAGCGGTCCACCGCCCTCCTTATACACGCAGGCAAATCGTCTGTCTCTAAGCCACAAAACAATCTGGATCGATCCACGAGAGAAGTGACAGACATGAACAAACATGCTGGAAAAGGCTAGAAGCTGAGCTTCCCCAACGCAGACACACAGCAAAGCTAGCATGTCTCCCAGTGCTACAAAATTAAAGAGAAAAAGAGCACAGCACAAGCTATAGGGTATATGAAGGTGCTAGAAAGCGAACCACGAGCCACAGAGAAAGCAATCAATTTGACTTCAGGCATCTCTTAAATACTGTACCTACTCATCTCTCACTAGCAGCACTAGAAATAGCTGAACACTCATCTTTTTGATGGAGATATTTTAAGCGATGATGCTCTGTTTTCTGTTACAGCGCAATTTGCGGCGCACTTCGAACCCTTCCCCATGACAAGCTCTAAAGACATCGATTACAACAGTGCAATGACAGTAACGATCACCTAACTTTTCTCTTTTTTTTTTTTTTTTAAAGCAAAAATAAAGCACATCTTTTAGTTATCGCAACTTAACTTAGATCCTTCCTTAAATGGGGAGGCTATTGACATACACCAGGGAGTGGGGAGACCTCTTTCTATATGGCTTCTGCCTCCCATTATGGTAACATCTAGAAAAAAAACCCTAATCAGCATCACGTACCAATCTACAGAAAAAATTAGTCCTGCCAATTGCACACCGCTGCTCAGACAGGTTACAGACACCTCGACTCGCTACTTTGCCTTGTCTTGGCTACTGCCTAACAGCAGCATAATTACAATCAAAAGCATTTCTCCTGGAATATGATGTTTCCCAGCACAAGTGACATTGCTTCTTAATGACTGCAATCAGGAGACACCAAGCCTAGGTACAGTAACGGATATGTGATATATACATCTGCTAAGAGGGTATTTTTCTTTCAAGTAAATTGTTGACTGAGCTGATTTGATTTTCATCGTTTAATTTGTGATCTTGTAACTGGTAGCCAAAGTCTTCTGCAACAGATCAAACAAATCAGTTGTGTTCAGAGTCAGCGCTCTGAAGCAATGCAGCAACCCAAAAAGCCCCCTCTCGCCTGGACTTTTGCTTTTAGGAACAGTTCCCAGGCTGGTCCAGTTCTGATACTATCTAAGCTACCAAGGAAACAGAGGCCCCCACCAAGAAGGTGCTTTCAGACTGGGGCCAGCGACTCCTCGGGAACAGCTGGAGCCTTTCTGAGCCCCACGAACGTGCCAACACCCTGCAAGCACCCGAGACACAAAACGAGGCATTTGGGGAGACAAATGCAAACCAGCTAATTATATTCCTTGGATTCAGAAAAGCATTAGCTGCCTCGGACAAGAAAATATCACGAGGTATGCTGGAAGGGGAACTGATGGCGGGGTAGGTACTTTGCTGTAACAACTCTGTGCAGAAAGCAGGGAAGCCAGTTACCCCTCGTTTATCAACTATCTCACGTATAGAAGCCAAAGCACCCCAGTTCACATCCAAGCTTGCCTTGCAGGCACTTTGGGGGTTTCAATATCCTCAGAGATCAGAAAAAAATGAGAAACACACTATTAAGAAAAAAGAGGAGCAGTGCTGATATGATGAGTCTCCTGAACAGAAGCCTGGATGCTCTCTCCTTTTTTATCCCCATCATCGCCCTTGTAACTTCACTGTTTACTTGAAAATCCCCATGAAACCGGCTGGCACAGCCCGACACGAGCACTGCTGGGCCCAGGGAGCTCCCAGGTACTCCACCTGGAGCCTCACTCCCTCAAGTACACAGTACATCCCACTCGAGCAGGATGTATGCAGGTGAAGAGCAGACCAAGAGCCAGCTCCAGCACGCTGAGCCACCAGCCTGGGCACGCTGTCCTCATCAGTGGCTTCGTGCCTGTTACGCCTAGGAAAAGCCAGGTTTGCCATACTTGCTGGCAGAGTGTCTGCCCAATCCATCTGGAAAACAAGATTGTGCCCCACAAAAGGCACGCAGGATGCCCCATAAGCACGTCCAACGCACACCGGCCTGTGGCCAAGGTGGAGCTGCTAAGTCTGGACTCACAGGGGATCTGCCCGGTGCAGCGTCCAAGTGGCAGCACGGTGGACCCAGGTGGATTAGAAGCAGCGAGGTACAGAGCTGACTACAGCCTGCGGCATGACGTACAGCATCATCGAGTCGTTTTGGTTGGAAAAGAGCTTTAAGATCATCAAGTCCAACCGTTAACCCAGCACTGCCAAGGCCACCACTAAACCATGTCCCTAAGCACCACATCTATGCATCTTTTAAATCCCTCCAGGTGACTCCACCACCCCTGGGCAGCGTGTTCCAGTGCTTGACAACCCTTTCAGTGAAGAAATTTTCCTAATATCTAATCTAAACCTCCCCGGTGCAACTTGAGGCCATTTCTTCTTGTCCTACCGCTTGTTACTTGGGAGAAGAGACCAACCCCACCTGGCTACAGCCTCCTTTCAGGCAGTTGTAGAGAGTGATCAGGTCTCCCCTCAGCCTCCTCTTCTCCAGGCTAAACACCCCCAGTTCCCTCAGCCGCTCCCATCAGACTGGTGCTCCAGACCCTTCCCCACTTCGTTGCCCTTCTCTGGACATGCTCCAGCACCTCAATGTCCTTCTCGTAGTGAGGGGCCCAAAACTGAACGCAGCACTTGAGATGTGGCCTCACCGGTGCCGAGTACAGGGGGATGGTCACTGCCCTGGTCCTGATGGCCGTGCTGATACAAGCCAGGATGCTGCTGGCCTTCTTGGCCACCCGGGCACACTGCTGCCTTATATTCAGCTGGCTGTCGACCAACACCCCCAGGTCCTTTTCCTTACAGGCTACATCAGAAGAGCTGGAGGAAAAGGACTTCTTGCCAGCTTGTAAACTTTTTTGCAGAATATGGAGGAAAGTTCTCCCACCAAACACTGCCCCAAACCACCTGTGTCAAGGGATCGCCACACCTCCCTTCACTGAGCCCAAAATCTGCCTCCTTGGGCTTGTTTGTTTAAAAACCAGAGATTGTGGCTGATTTCTGAAATGGATTCCAGCAAGAATCTCACATTGTCACGGATGTTGATGTCCGACCCCTTTGCAAGCAGCAACTTCACCAGCTCAATATGCTTGTACTCGGTGGCCCAGATCATCGGCGTCCAGCCTCCGTCATCCTGGGGAGGGAAAGCAAAGGGTGAGGTGCGCAGAACAGTCAAAATACGGTCTCCTGCTGGCTTCACAAGCCCCTTGGCAGCTGCCCCTTGCCTGGAAGCCACAGACCCCTTCCCTCCCCACGTCTGTCTCATCACTCTCCTTCGATCTGTGCTGCTGCAGGGAGAGGTCCCTCAGGGTCCTGCAGAGCCCAGCGTGATTCCATTCAACACGCCTCAGCAGGCTGGAGTTTATTTGCAGCTCAGCACACTGGCAATGGATCTCCAGGGCGTTCAAATCCAGCTGACTGTCCAAATCGCACAAAACACCCAGTTCACGTAAAAGCTCTTACAAAGCTCCCTGAGCAGCCTGGGGGAGCTCGCCTTCCGCCTTCCCCCCGAATGAGGAACCCCAATGCAGCCCTGCCCTGCCTCGCCCCACAGCAATGGCTAAGCTCTGCGATGGCGAGTGCCACGCTCAACCCTTCCCACCAAGTCCGTCATCCCACCACCCCCCTGCTAGGAGGAGCACAGGGACGCCCTGGAGCAACAGGCTCCACCAGCAAATTCAGGGTCAAGGAGAAACTGCAAATGAAGGCACACAGAAGGAAAGTTTCCATGCGGTCAGCGGAGGGGATCACCTTCTCTGGCAGGCCGGGATGCCCACGGCACTGTCGCCCTATAACGTTTGTCAGGTCCCCCCCCAGCAGCAGGGCTGTGTTTGAATACCCACTGCGCAGACAGCACGCTGCCGAGACTTGGGTCCCTGACCTGAGGAAAGCAGCTTCTGCCCCTCGCAGAAAGGCCTCACCTGGCAGTTGACATCCATCTTCCCGTTGGAGAGGAGGTACTGAACAACGTCGTAGTGCCCCTTCTTGGCAGCCAAGTGCAGACACGTGGAGCCCTCCGCGTCCTGGACACAACCACAGAACCAACACTCAGAGGACAGCCTTTCGCAGCGTTCCCCATGTCTGCAGGACACCAGTGGTGCTTAGGAACAGCAGAGAAGTTCACGGATGGAGCAGAGGACTCCAAAAGCCCCCGGCCCACTGCCAGGAGGGAGCAGAGCAGTGGCAACCAACACCAGCACAGAGCTTCACGCAAAGCTCAGAGGTACAACCCGAGCAGATCAGGAGGCTGTGAGTGCAAAGGCTACGGGAAGAGACACCTTTGTGAAGCCCAGGGAAGGTTCCAGCCCCAAACCCTGGCACATTGATGCTCCTGTTCCCCAACAGACCCTCTCCAACTCTTCTTCATGTGCTGGAGAGCCAAGGGGAGGCAGAAATTCCTTACAGAGGCAGAGCTCCCATGTCAGAAAAGTAGCCTTGACTCAACCTGAAATGCTCCATTTATACAATTTTTGTGCTGTGTTTTATTAGCACAAGGACCTGGCAGCAGGGCAAAGGGGTGTCCTGCACAGGGACTAGGAGCCCCTGAGAGACCAAGTCCCCAGCGTGCCCACAGCCGTCTGCCAAGATAGGAGATAAAAAACGACTGTGAAGGTTGAAAGGAAAAATGCCTTTGGGAGCTGAGAATACAGGGTCTGGTGGCAATGGACAGGCTGTGAATCATGACACAGACACTCCCACACTAACACCAAAGATCTTGGCTGGAGCCTGATTTTTATCAGGCGTTTATATCCCAAGAGCTTAGCACACAGCAAGGCCCAGAGATCAGGAGATAAAGAGGAGGAAATGAAAGACTGAAAACCCAAAGTGACTCCTTCCTGCTAAGCCCCTGGAAGCAACACTGGAGGCGAGAGCTTTCGGACGGCACTGAGCAGAGAGCACGGCACAGGACCAGGGAGCAACCCTCCAAGCAAGGACGGGACATCTCAGGTCAGGGATTACACTGAGTGGGCTTCTCGGGGTACGGAAGGGGTTTCTGCTGCCCGTAAGTGCCTGCCACTTCTCAGTAACACCACAGCTTTCCCCTGAGATTAGTACGAGCCAAGTGCAGCTTCTGAACCCTACGGAGAGCAGGCATATTTTACTATAAAGTTTCTGAAGGTTCTGAGTGGAACTTTTACGTTCTATTATCAGGATCAAGAGCTTCGGCCACCCCAGCAGCAGTTACTGTCCGGATTTCTCATCAAAATGGCTGGAGATGATTTTAAACTGCAATGTTGCTGCTTTCAAAAAGATGACTAATTTGGTGCGAGAAACAAATTAACATAATAAACTAGTCTAGACTTCAGACATGATCTCAGGCTTCTAATTTGCTTTTGCAAGCTCAGGATTTTTTTACTTCCCTTTACCTTTAGAAGCAAAACCCCTCTTTTCTCCTACACACGAATAAATCAGGTGAGGGACACCTGGATTGCTCCAAGATGCTCGGGACAGTGGCCAGTATGAACCTGCACGTGCCTGTCCTGTCCTTTCCCCCTTCCTGGCTCTGAACCAGGCTCCCAAGGATCCGTTTAGGGCTTGGGGTGGGCAGCGCTCGATATCCTGTGCAATCCTCCTGGCCCTGCAAGCTCCTCCACAAAAAGAACATCCCGGCCCTGCCGTACTCCCCAGCAACAGCAGAGGAGCGGGCCAACGGCAGCAGGTTATAACAATAAGAAGTTTATGTGGGGAGGGTTCCTGCGCTCCAAAGAGCATCTGATTTATGGGACTTATAAGCGATTTGTATATTTTCCAAGATTGCGAAGCAACTAGAGCATGCTAAAGGCAAACAGACAGCTGCATTTTATTGTATTTGTTTAAATTAAAGGGTAGAGTTTAAAGACGGGGTCCAATTTTGCCACTACGGCGTGATTGCAAGAAACTGCGCATCAGGCCTTTGGAAAGCAAAGCTTCCTCTGTCATTTTTGCTGGCTTGGCGAGCACCTAATTACCAGTCCATTTTAAAATGTCACCTCAAAAGTCTCATTATTAGAGTCTACAGAGAAGGAAACTCTGAAATCAATCTCCAAACTCAGCACAATGGATTTGTGACACTTAGTGGCCCCACATGAAATCAAACAGCCCCTACGTTTGGTGCCGCAAACTAACGTAGCAAGTGGCAGCACTTGCCCCAAACTGCTCGCAGCCAGGACGCCGCATCGCTAAAACGATACTACCAATAACCACGGCCTTGCCAAGCCTTCGCGCCCAAGACAAGCGAGTCCGTTTCCCCACTGCCTGTGCGCTTCCACCCAAGACTTAAAACCTATCACGAAAGAAATGGCGGACAGAGGCTTCTTCAGGAGAAAAACATTAAGGAATAAACTGTTACCTTAGGATCTACCTGCTTCCACCCAAGACTTAAAACCTATCACAAAAGAAATGGTGGACAGAGGCTTCTTCAGGAGAAAAACGTTAAGGAATAAACTGTTACCTTAGGATCTACCAGCGCTCCAGCCTTGATAAGGTATTTCACAGTTTCCAGATGGTTGTTTTCTGCTGCTTCCATCAGTGGGGTCCTCTGGTCTTCAGAGCAGGTGTCTATATTAGCACCAGCCTGTTAAGAGGCCAAGGCAAACACAAGGACAATTACAACCATTACTGGTTAGCAGAGGAAGGATGTGGGAGTAGAGATTTAGTAGCAGGTTTTGAAGGCAGTCCAACTTCACCTGTTTTGGAAAGCAGCGAACTGCCTGCCCTCTCTCCTGCCTTCTACAGCCAGTAACCAGGGCATAAGGAAGCCAACAGCTGGTATTAACTAACTTTTGTTATTAATGCATTCTGTACTGTTACTTTCAGGATATTGCTTGTGTAACAATTTGGAAAAGCCAGCCTCCTCCTTTTTCCAGCAGCTTTGTTTTGGGTCTATCATTTCTAGGGACACAATGAACACAACAACCAGCTCTTCCCAACGTCACAGCAGGAGCTGTAAAAAACCTCTGGAGATTGGATAACTATTCCTGTTGAAGTCAACGGTAACATTTCTACAGAGGTCTCTGAGCAAACGTTCTGTTCAACATAGCGCACCCTGGACCAAAACCCTATTCTTTTCCAAAACACTACTGTGTCACGTATCTTGCCGGCTTTAACTCTTTGGCTTAGCTCAGTAACCTACCCAGTATTTAAACCGAAAGGACATCTCAGAGACAGCACCGCTCTTGGCAGGCCACGCACGCACACACACGTGCGAAGCACAGGCGTGTTGGCAGCAGCGGCACGCTGACTCAGGTTCACCTGGCACAAGAAGTTGGTCCTATTGCTTCCAGGTGACTCTCACTAAATGCATTTGGTTTGATTATTTTTTAAATAGCTAGAGCTATTTAAACAAGACCAGAGAAGAGGCATGTCAAGTTTAACAAGCTGGGGACATTCCCAGACAAATACTGTGCTACTGCAGTAGCCAGATATCAGGGAAGAGACAAGATGATGAAGGATTTTGGAAACAAACCAACACGACTGATACTCAATTCTAATTGTTTGTAATATCTCGCAAATTTTGCTCCTTTTACTTGTACGAGTCATTCCGTTGTCTTCACGCACAGTAACTTAAGTGAGCGAGAGCAGCAGGGTAGGCCCATAGCTGCATCTTCAAACAGCACTTTGAAAGCCTCCGACTCCAGACGCTGAAACGCAACATCCCAGCAGGCTCATTTTCAAAGACGTGTCACTGCTGCTTTCTCAAAAGCCCTTTAAGGTTTCCCAGTCACACAGGGTAAACAAAACATACTTCCCGTCACTCCAGACAATGTATGCCAGTACAAAAAAGAAAAAAAGTAACTTTTTAAATCCTTCTTTTTCCTTCACATCATTTTGGAGTGGGTTCAACGAGAGCACCCGTATGTCTTTGTCCATCTTCCCTCAGTTAGAATCCAAATCTCAGACAATAAAGCAAACTTACATCTTTCCTTCTCTCCTGTTCACATGTGGGACATCTACACTGCAGAGCTACTCTCCACCACTCCTCCCTCAGCAAACCCTGAGAATAAGGAGGTTTTTATAGGAGAGAGGTTTCAGTGCTGATTTCCAAGTATGCTTGAGCCATGTGGGGCAGGAGACCAAAAACCACAGAAAATTGCTTGTACAGAAGAACGTTAAGTGGAGACAGACCTGAATCAGCATATGGCAGATGTCCACGTGGCCAGACTCGGCGGCAGCATGGAGAGGGGTTCTCTTACTCTGATGCTCCATTTTAAAATTAGGGTCAATTCCGTCCACTGAAAAACAGAGCAGGGATGCTTTGAACCATGATTCAGATTAAAGCGTAACGAGAGAACTAGGTCTCACCTAAAGGCTTTTAATGGACGGGTTCCCAGCCCACCCTCAGTCCTTCTCACAACTCACTACACATTCAGGCCAGAAAGCTCTCAGGGTAATCCCATGGACATTCGATATGCAACAGCCCTCAAAGCAAAAGCTTCAGAAACACCATGGAATTTAATACCTTTAAGGCATTACAATTTCTGCACAGGCCATCTCCCTCAGATTCACAATTCCCTATCTCTGAGTGCAACAAAACCAAACACCACTGGTGCGAGGACTTGCAGCAATAGGACAAAGGGTAATGGTTTTAAACTCAAAGAGTATAGATTCAGATTAGATATAAGGAAGAAATTTTTTACAATGATGGTGGTGAAACACTGGCACAGGTTGCCCAGAGAGGTGATCCCCCATCCCTGGAAACATTCAAGGTCAGGCTGGTCAGGGCTCTGAGCAACCTGATCCACTAGACATCGTCCCTGCTCATTGCAGAGGGTTTAAACTAGATGATCTTTAATGGTCCCTTCCAACTTAAACCATTCTATGAGCACCATAAAAGGATAAAAAGGAAAAAAAAATGCTGGTTAAAGCAACACAGAAGTTGAGAACAACAAAGAGTCAGTACCACCTGGCCTTTTTGTCTCATCATTATTAACTGCAATTAATATTAGCGATCCTCATTGCATCTCAGCTAACACAGGGCTACAAAGTGGATGGAGCTTCTCCTAACACGAGCTCGGGATCTGGCCAGAGATTCTCACAGCTGTGCAAAGACTGACAGATGATGATGACGACAGCCAGACAAAGATGTCTGGGCATGATAACATGTTGCATATGCTGAGGCCATAGTTAAATATCAATGAATAGCATTTTTGTGCTATTGAAGCCATGAACAATGAAGCTAACACTTGCTAGAAGAAAAAAGAAGAATCTGATAAACGAAAAGAACAGAAAGCATCCAAAAATGTACTGCAAAGTACTGCAATGGAAAGGAAATGATCCCAAGGAAACATTGTGCCCTTCAAAGGGGGAGATTCCTCGAGAATATCTGTTGGTAAAAACAAGCTCAGCAGCTCAAAGTCATCTGGTGACAGACAGCCACGTACCCCCAAAACAAACCCTGTGTATTGAAGGGCTCTTCCTTTCTGCTGTCTTGCTGATGGGTCTCGGCTTAAGCCAACTCCGATCTTTTTACCTCTCTACTGGATGCAAATACCCAACTAACCCATTGCATGGAGAGGAAAAGTTCTGTCAGACTGGAAAAATCACATGTAGGTCATCTGGGGACAGAAACAGCTTCTCTGGATAAAACCGTGCCCAAATACAGAAACAAGTTGGGAGCAGGTCCACGTTTCACAGAAAGATGAAGCCATTTCCAATGACACATCACTTGCAAAAGTGGCTTTCTCCTCCAACTCCACTCACAAGGGGCAGCAGGGAATATGATGACGTGCTGCCATGCTGGGAACTGCCTGGCCTCTGGCAGCTGCCTGGCAGGAGCTGGGAGTACTGCCAGCCACGCAATGTCCTGGGAAGGAGCCACCTACCCAACATAAGCAGGACTTTTTGCAGCTCTCCTTGCCTCGCAGAGAAGTACAACTGCTTTGGATGGAACCGTAACTTCTTGGGTCTGCAGAGGCAGGGAAAAGAGGCGTAATTAATACTCACCAAAGAACACTCCCGACATTTCACCCCACCCCACTGCTACCTCATGTGCATGACAAAGTCTGTGCCTATGGTACAGCCCCGGAGTGCCAGCAAAACACAAGAACAACAAGTTTCCAGGAGGAGGTCTTAAAACTTCCAGCTCCAGCCACAGCCAGCCTGGTTTTAATGAGGGCCATATCGATTCAGTGCTGCTCACCAACAAATTTTGAGTCTTACCACTGTAAAACAAGAACCCCTAGTAGTTACAGCTGTGGTTGCAGGGCCAGCAAAAAACCAAATCCTCCAGACAAATGCGCAAGACATTTAAAGCTACAACTGTTCTCTTCAATCAGTCATCTGTTGAGGGTGACAAATGACTGAACATAAAAAGGTCTGAGTTGGGCCAAAATCCAAAGAAGCTAAATCTCAGTTTTCTCTAGGCTAAGCAACTTTGCTGGGGACTGGAGAGACCCAGTGGTCTTTTTCTTACTTTTCGGAGTCCAGAGCAATCAGGGCACTTTCCAGAGTTTCTTTAACTGGTCCCTGGGTCAGGCTAGTAGTAGGCTTTGGAAAAACTGAAGACCCAGCCATGTCAAACCCCTCAACTGCTGAACTTTCTGGCTTGTCCTCCTCTGACAACCGCGTCCCAGTGCCACTGAAGAGAAAAAAATGAGAGACAGCCAAAGCACAACCATTAAAAATACACAACGGTGTGTATCTTATGCCAAAGGAGGAAAGGAAATGGATTTTAAGTACAGATAAGCATAAGTGAAATCAAAACACAAACCAATATATTTTACAGCCTTTTCAGCCTTTTTACAGCCCCGAAAAGGAGTTGCACTGCCCTATGATTACATTTTGATGTACTCTATGCTACAGGAAACCCAGGAACATGGGGCAAGTCATAAAAGCCACCAGAACAGGATCAGATCGGATGGGAAGTCGGAGCACTGTTCAATGCAGGGATGACTTGATTTGTGTTTTCCTCTGCGTTTTCATCCTCTCTTTACACTTGTGCCCATTGGTACAAGTCACGAGCTACAGGTAGGTACTGCATGAGTTTCCCTGTCACTTAGCAGACGTGGCAACATCAACTCGTTCCGCTATTATTCCATTCCTAACAGTAAGAGGAAGGAATGGTTTTAACTCCTGAACCCCTCCTATCCTCACAGCCTCTGCCCCAGCTCACCCTGTGGCTGCTGCGCTCTTTTCCGACACAGTGAGCAACACAAAACACACTTGCAGATTCCTGCAGCTGAGTTTGACGTGTCAGAGCAGAACCAGAAAGCACTCTGCTCCATCGGGAGGAGCACACGCATTCCAATGCAAAGCACGGTCTGGCATGAGGTTTGAGATCACCACACGCTCCCAAGCTCACCTCCCCGTCGTGGTGTCGGCCCTTCCCTCCACAGCCGCTGGTTTCTGTTGCTCGTAGGTCAGCGACACCGTCGAGGTTGTGTCTGCTTTTGCTATTGTCACCTCCTTTGCCTTGGAGGCCTCTTCCCCGCAGTGTGGGCAGTAGCTCATGTCGTTGACCTGGGAGGCACAGTTCTTGTGGAAACGGTGGGAGATGCTGCTCTCCGGCTGACACTCCATGAAAGTGCCCTAAAAAAACCACGGAGAAGAAATTTACACGTTGGTCACTACGTGCCTTACGCCTTCCACACGCTTCATCCGCAGATCTCTTAAATACTTCATTCATCACCACTCTTGTCCAATACAGTAAGCAAGCACTGCCACTTCTTTAGAAGACAACAAAACCAAGGTAATGGGGAAAAAACTCACTTGGTTAGGGACAGCAAAGCAAGATTTTTAATTGCGCTTGGAAAACAGAACCAAGAAGTCCCAATTTCCAGCTCTTTCCTCTAATGCTTGAAGCTCTTGCTTAAGTTTCTAGAAGTGCCAGTGTACTGTAAGGACGCCCCCAAAACTGGAAAAGAAAACTTCAGACTTGCCTGCTGAGCCGGCATTAAAACTACCTAACAAAGCTGCACACAAACCATTCAATGACCTACATGAATATAATTACATCAGCCGGTAACCCCAATGCAACCTAAAGCATGCGACTTGGACCAGCCCCGGATGCTGTTTAACCCCAATAATGTGTCTGACTGCTGATTCAACAAACTTGGGCAGCTTTTCTTTAAAATTCCTTTTCCTTTTCCAGCAAAGTCCTCCAATCTGAAGTGAAGGCACCCCAGAATTCATCCCCTGGGCTATTAGTGCTACCTGAAGCCCTGCTGTGCTCTGTGCTACTAGTGATGGATAGCACAGACAGACACTCCCAGGCTCACCTGTGTCAACTATGGCACGTCACTCAGAGATGTAAGAGCATGTAAGGAAAGGCTAGTTAAAACCCACTCTTCTCCTGAATTCACGGTCCTCCCTAGCAATCTAATTAACTCTATTTCAGCTTTCCAAAATGCCTTTAAGGGTTTTGAGGATTTTATCTTTTGAATGATCTTTGACTCAGCATGAAAACCCAGGATGGCTCCATTTACACTAGTAATGCTTGACACTACTGTAGCATCGTTCATTGAGTCATCTTGAAGAACGCTAGCATCAGACAATGAAGCCTCCTCATCACCTCAGTAGGTGTTTTTCAGCTTTACCAACAGGGAAACTAGGACGACTTAAAGGACTGGACCAATGCTATTAAAAGCCTCGGTGGCAGAAGTGGAAGAAGTAGCAGGAGAGCTCAAACACTGCCTTGTTCCAGTGCCATCACTCAGGTTCCCCGTCTAAACCGTCATGAGCAGGTGGGGGGGGACACACACAGATGTGTACACAGATTCATTTACAAACCAAGCTAATACAGTTTTTGAGGCGATTGATCTGTACAGAGAAAGAAAAAAAAACAACCCTTGTTCCAAAGAAATTCCTAAGGCAAGACTTCCACCGTGTGAAATCCCAGTGAAAACCCTTCCATAACATCCCTTGGGGTCTCCAGGAAGATAAAGGTGACGATTGCAGCTACCCTCACACACATTCCTGTTGAAAACACCACCTGACGTGCTGTGGAACAAGGTGGAGCTGATGCCAGGAAGTCAGTAAACCCCTTTAGGTACCATCTCCACCTTCAGCTCTTCCAGCTACTGCGACAGGTACCCCCTTCCCTAGATTGAGAGCACGGACTTACTGCAGTGCAAAAGTATCCACAGCCAGGGCAACACTGGTGTTTCACCATCCTCCCTCTATGGTCCTCACACAGCACCAAAAGTTGGACTTTGTTAGACGGGCGCATCAGTTCATACTTAACCACACTGTTTGTGCATCGGCCCAGCTGGAACAGGAGAAATTAAAGGAAATGAAATTACTGGAGACCAAAACACTCTCTGTGCTTGTGCGGAGGAAGATTTTGCACACTGCCTTGATGAGCCCTGGCTTTTTCACAGTAATTCAGACGTGTGCCAGATAGCATTAGCAGTGCAGCAGGAAGCTGTGAAAGCTGCTCTCACAGGAAGAAATGCATCATTTACTAACTAACATGCTTGCGGACCCCAAGTCGTTCGTTCCTTGCAAGAAAAAAATAATCGTAACTGGAAATAGGCAACAGCCAAGCAGCCGCAGAAGGGGCAGTCCCATGGGCCTGACTCACACAACATACGCTCTCCTTTTGCCAGGCAGAGCGGGCGTCGGTGGCCCAGAGA